GAGAAGAGAAGAGAAGAGAAGAGAAGAGAAGAGAAGAGAAGAGAAGAGAAGAGAAGAGCAAAATGAAGCCTGTAGGTATCTGTCTATCCCAAGAGGTTAAAGAAAATCACTTCAATACCTGATGACTGAATCTAATCAGCAACAGTAAATACCAAAAGGTCCTTCATCCACTGTAGAGATTTCAAGGGAGTATCTCAAGGTCATTCTGCCTCTACATTTGCTTCTGACCCGTGCAGAGCTTAATTGTATTGAGTTAGCTTGGACTATAGTTTATTTCAAATTTTGTGTAATTGATCTCTGCCTTCACACAGAGCTGAACCTTGTACATAAATCCTTGAAATGAACTGCTATCCTTGTAAGGGATCAGACTGCCCTCACTTCCTTTTAGAAATACTAAATGAATTTGAAAAGTTCAAAAGGGTTACTAGGAACGGTCCCGAGAGGGATGGCCCTTCTGTGCAGAAATGCCAGTTTGAAAGCAGCTTTCCTTTCATTCTACACACCGCACACTCAGCCCACTTGCTGTCTAGCCAGTCTGCTTCATCACTCTGCACACCTCTAGTGCCAGAGTTTATTCGGATTCACATTCTGACATTCCCCACCCACATATTGTATTTTTTGCACATATACGCATCCACACACACCTAACATCAAGACAGAGCTGGAAGAATATTTCAGCAACCATGTGGCTTTTCTCAATTTCTTTTCCTAGTGCCCTACTTGTAATGAATAAAGAATTCAAACGTTATGGGCTCTCCCATCACATCAGCAGACAGCTGCATAATCAGATACTGGTTTGAGAAGTAAGGCTCCCATGTAGGAGCGAACAATAACCCAGATTTGGCCTCTGCAAAGCTACTAATGAGCCCCCAAACCTCTTGAATACATACAACTTATATTGGACTAGATAACAAGTCCACCTAGGTTCATATTATTTACTACAACCATCTCCCCAAAACAAGAATAGATCTCTTATTAACAGCGACGCTTTCACTTTGTTACCGTGATCTGAGTCCTTCAACTTACAAATCAGGGACAGGCAATAAGTGGCTCTCCAGATGTTTTCAGACAACAACTTCTACCACACCTCATTGCTGTCCATGCTGATGACAGCCTACCTATTACAAGGTTTATCCAAAGATAAGGAAAAATGATTATAAAGTACATTATTCTGAATGTGTGCAGAGTATATTTTTCTCACTGCTGTAACTGCGGTCCGCCTGAATAAAAATCTGATCTGGAGCACAGATTCCAGGTAAGCTGGAGCCTCAACTAGCTTTTAAGAAATTAATCTACCCACTATCTCAGGAGAGGACATTACCATATTTGTGTAACACATATCTACACACACACACGAATTTCATTTTGGCACCTATCGCTGAACTTTGGAAAAAGAAGGAATAATTCTATTCTTATTGTGTTAATTTAAATGTTTTCATAGCCTGTATCATGCTGGGTACTTTTTCAGTAAAAGATGTTGTAACAGAAACCACAAGGAAATAACTCTGGGGTTGTGTTGTGTGTGTAAAGTCAAGCTTGTATTGGAAAAATTGTCTGTCCTGCATCTTCTGCCTTGCATTTTACCTGCTTGATTTTGTTGCGTGAAGTGGTGATGCGTTCAGTGATGCTCTGGTAGGTACAGATGGCAGTCATAAGTTCAGTGTAGTGCTGAACAATCAACTCATCCAAATTACGGTCACATTTTTCATACGCCTCCTCCAGGCGAGCCTTCTCATGTTCTCTGTCCTCAACATCATCACTAGTGGACAGTGTCCTGAAAAACAAGAGGGAAAAGATTCATGGCAGAAGTTTCACCCAACAAAAGGTTATTTTCACAGCAGACAAGCATGTAAAATTCTCATCCCCAGAACACAACAAAGGAACGACCACTGAATTTGAAAAGTGTGCTTACCAGCACTACTACCTGTAGGAATGTTATTTTAATGTCTTTATTTTTATCCGCTTCTATCCCATGAGCTCAAGGAGATATTAAATCCCTTATATGAAAGAAAGAAACTCAGTTGCCAGCAAAAAATCAAAAATAAATAACCAGGACTAGAAAACAGAAAGGAAAGAACCACAGGTTTTTCAAAAGATTCTGGAGCTGGCCAACAATGCCTCAAAATGGTCAGAAGCACCCCATCTATATTCCAATTTTAGGAGTAGGGGCATCATGCTTGGTTCAAAAGAAAACCCCAGACCTACACTCTGATGGTATAGACAAGACTTCTCGAGGGATAAATATCTGGTGACGATACTACTATTCTTTCAGAATCAAAATCTTTTTACTTGTTGAGGCATTTTGACGCTGCATTTTCGGGTTGGGTATAGGTTGCATATACCTTATTCTCTGTGTTTTAGCACTAATATTTTCTACTGCTTTCATAACAAATTGAAGTTACCTTTCAGAAGGCTAGGGTCTAAAGGACAATATTTTCCAAACTCTCCACTGGTTGGCTGGATGCCGGTAGTGGCGATTCCCAAACTAAGTTGAAATGTACAGCAGGTACAACCTCCAGACACATACGTGTTCCTTCTCCTAAGTAATACAGTAGCCAGTGCACATGCACCAGTCTGAATTAACTGGCTTCAGGTATATGAAAGATTTTTAAATAGGAAAATCAGAGGTACACGGATAAAATATGCATTGCATTTATTTTGCTATGAGACGGGAACTGCAGAAGTCTCTTTCTGCTTTCGTAGGATTTTCAAATGTCAAAGTCCAGACAGGATATAATTATGTACATGTTTAAGAGGCAGATTTTTTTTCTAAACCACTCACCTGATTCCTCCCCCACCACATGCACACATGACCCTCTCCCCATAGTATCTGAGTTATGAGCTTCTAGAACCAGCAGTAGAAGCGGTTCCCAGCTTCTTCTGAGGGTCAGAATGAGCTCTTAGACTTGATTTTTTTTTAGCAAACTTATGTTTCTTATACTGAAATAATTGCTATAGACAAAGCATCCAAATATGAACTTCGATATGTTTTTTCTATCTCATGCACTTTCTTGTCAGCTTTCACTGCATGGTACACTATCAGAAAGGATTACACCATTTATGAGTAATCATGGAGAGTGATAGGATGGCCCTGCCTATCACCTCCCTGACTTGCCATAATAATCCATGTATGGAAGCAAAAGTGTTTTGTCTATTTCCTTTTCAGGTTCTTTAACAGTTTTGAGCAATCAGTCAAGGGACTTGAAGGGAAAATCACTGAAGGTTAGTGTAGCTCTCAAGTCCTGTACAATTTGGCTTTCATTCCTAGACTTGTTAAAACAACTGAAACTCTATCTAGCTAAGACTTGGATTCAGTGGACATGCAGGAGAGAGTGGCAACCAATTACAGTCAAATTACAAGTCTTTTTTTTTTTTTTGGAAGCAGCAGTAGTAGCACCTGCAGTGCAGGATAGATGAAAAGGGGCCTACCAGAGTTACAATAGGCTGACAAAACAGAAAAGAAATGAACAGTAGTGTTGGTGCACCAGATAAATCATTTACTTCATGTTTTCTCCAGTGCACCAAAACTGTTCTTTACAAGCTTAAGGAATTAAGGGTGACAGAAGGCAAGACCTCCTTAATAAGGCAACCCAATCTGAAAAACTCAGCTGCATGAAGTCCATCTTTCCATATAATCATTACTTGTTTCAATCTGATAGCTTTCAGTTTATACTGGGTCAAAATTAATTAAAAGACCAATTAAGAACATTAAAAATGCCAATAACAATAACCACTCAATCTGTGTGCTAAATGCTGACCCAATAAAGAAGAAAATGGGCTGCCCTTGAAGACTACTCAGAAGCTATAGCTGGTCCAGAAGGCTCAGGTTCAGGTTCAGGTAGTTATGGTCCATCATGATTTCTCCATATAACACCTCTACTCTGAGCTGCATTGGTTGTCTGTTTCCAGGTATAATTCAAGGTGCCCGCTGTCACCTTTAAAGAACTTTGTGGCTCAGCACCTGAGTATCTTTGGGACTGTCTTCTTCCAGCTGCCTCTGCCCATCCAGTAAGAGTAGGTAGAAGAGGCTTCTCTGGGGCTCCTTCCTTCCTTTCACCTTCAGGGAGCTCTGAGATAGGTCTTTCCCATTTCTGCTCCCTCCCCTTCTTTGGTACAGCATTTCCCTGGAGATCTGAATGGCCCCAACCTTCCTAGACTTTAGAAGACCTATTAAAACTTGCTTTTCCAGCAGACCCTGGGACAGATTGTCACAAAGTGTTCCCTCTTATATTGTGGTACTTTAGTTTAATTGAGTTTGTATATTGTCACTGGCATGGAATTCCAAGTTAGTTGCTACTGGTTTGATTTCTATGTATAATTTTTAACCTTATTTTACAAAATATGTTATATAAGCAGCCCAGAGTCAGTGATACATGGAGCAGCATATAAGTCCAGTAAAATAAAGAAATAATAAATTAAAAATATCAGGTTTGGAAGATGATTATGCTTTAGCGTATCTCCAAAAGAAAATCAAAACAAGGGCAACAAATCCTAAAACTATATAGCTGAGGCCCAATTCTGATATCAGAAAAGTATCCTCAAAGATATAGCTTGCTCTTAATCAAGATTTTGTAGTATTATATATAGTGGAAGACACATTCAAGATGTTAAGATCCAAATACTAGCCAACCTGGTGGTAGGGGGGTAGAGAGAAGAGGAGATACAGTTGATATTTTAGTAAACTTCAGTTTGAGAATTACTACAAATGTAATGATAAGATTGATGTATAATTGATTTTAATATTTCTATTAATATTATTATTTTACTACTTTCAATACTATCACTATCATGCTCAAACACTTGAGATTCCTGCGGGCAGGGAAAAACAAAGAGTAATGTAACTCTGGTTTCTAACCTATTACCCCCAGCAAAATATGCCCCTTGATAGGAAAAAAAAAAAAATCTACCAATCCTAAATTCATATTGTTTAAATCAGAGTCTGGCAAAAACCTCTTGAAATCAGCCTGAACTAAGCAGATCCAAATATAATATCTCTTCACGGCAATGCAAAAATGTTTAATATTCTTACTCCTGCTGACACTGCAGAAATATCTTTGAAGGGCACCTCAACGTGCGCTGCAGCTCCATTAAAACGTTCATGAGGAAAATCAACAAAACATTTGCAAAGCAAGGGAGCAAAAAATGTATTCCAAGAAGAAAACCATTTGCTTTGAAACTATTGAAATGGATATAGCAAACAAAAGACAAGATAATACATTAATATTTAACTCCTAGTGTGTACACAGTAATTAGCTAGAAATCACATTTCCATGCTCAGTAAAACTTCTCTGCAGTTTAGCACCTGTTGCTTGTCCAAAATTGCACCTCATCAAGGGCAAAGCACTGCAGTTCTTCAAGCAGAGATATTTGTTCATATTAAAACTGTTCCCCTCAAACCAGCCAATTAGCCCTCCAAAGCAGAGCAACATGCAGCATGGACTGCTGACCGTTCCAATATTTGCCAGCTCAGGCATCCCACAAAATGACATGCATCAGAGGTGATACTTCAGAAAAAATACATTTGTGAATCTTCTAACATCTGAATTCAAACGCTACCATAAGTCAACCAAGCAGGAGCTTAAATGGGCCTTCCAAAATGATAGTTGTATAATTAAAGTCAATGCCCAAGTACAATACATCACCTGGATCTTGGTGCTCAGTCCATGCAAGCAAACAGCATAAGACATTTTTGCTCAGGTAAGAATCTGAGGCTTAATTAGATCTGTCTTTAAACATAAGTTGTATTTTTGCAAATTCTGGGTGGAAATTCTTTTCTGGCACACCACTGCCTATATTGGATAAACTCTTCTTCATATATTTATTGCCAACATTATGAGGCTCTTGTACCCTACCTTGAAAGCTGTTACCAACTCAAGAATGATAATAAGATACCCTGCTTAAAAAGCATAATATTATTTGCAGTGTAAATGTAATAGGATGCACAGCAGCTGAACTGCCATTTGGTGAGTAGGAACATCGCTATAAAAGACCACTTTCTGTTCAATCTTAACCTAAAGCTTAGTGCAGTTTTCCCAGATTTCAGTGCTGCAAGTAGACAGTATGTTTCAGCAATTTTTTTTATAAAGCATTTCTCTGTTCACAGCTTGTTTCTGAGAAGTGGTGGTGCTGCTGTAGCCTTCTTCTCTTAGCCTGAGGATACCACCAAACATAATCCACTGGGTTTAACTTTTTAATGGCTAGGCTGCGGTATTGCACGGATGATGATTATGTGACGAAAAGCTGGGGGGAAAAATGTGCCTGGTTTATGATCTTTGACCAAAGATTTAGAAAAGTCTTCCTAGTTAACCTCACAGTAGAAAAGCAGGTAAAAACATTTAAATAAATCCCAAGTACAAAATCCATAAAATTACTTTCACCACAAGAATAAGAGCCTGCTCCTTAGTCTCTGCACAGTTCAGAGGTGTTCTAACAGACTAAAGGTAGTCTTCAACTTATGACCATTCGTTCAGCAACTGTTTGAAGTTACAGCAGTGTTGAGCGAAGGGACTTACGGCCGGTCCCCAAAGTTATGGCAGTTGCAGTACCCCCACATTCACATGACCAAATTCGAGGGCTTGGCAGCCCTCCTGCACTAATGACCACAGGGGCACTTCAACTCCCCCACCCACCTATCTCCCCCCCATCTATGCCATTTTGGCCCCATCACCCTGTGCTCCGCCACTCCAGCTGACCTTCACCATCTTCTCACTCTCGCTGCTGATCAAGCATGCCTAGCCTGGTCCTTCCTGAGGCAGCTGCTGGCCATGCAAGGCT